CGCATGTTTAATTGTCCGACGTCATTTTTTTTAATAACGACAAAATTGCGACCGATTTGCGACCTGAAAGTCCGGCACAAAATAGTCGGTCGCAATTTACTCAGTTTCGGGTCTCAGATTGCTATCCCTTTTTTTGACGCCGGCCCTTTTTTTGCCCCGACAGAAACACAGTTGCGTTTCGCAAAGAAAGTCGCAGAAATTCGAAGGTCGCAATCATGAGCGTAATTCAGTCGTAAATGGAATGCAAACGTCGCGTGAGTTTTCGCTCTTAGAAAAGTCTCGCGACTGTTTGCCAATCTAGTCGCAAATTGGTATCAATATTGCACGCGACCCTGATCTTGTGAACGGTCGCCAAAATCGGTCGCCCAAAAATTGGTTCGCCAATTTGAAGTTTTTTTTAGTTGATCTGTTCGGCAGCTACTTCTGACTCCCTGGGAGCGGGAAGCCTAGGGCAATAGGTAATCTCCTCTACCGGGGTCAGTAATGACGGTTCTCGGTGAGAGCTCACACTACCTCTGATCCATAGACTCCTTCGCAGGATGTACTGGACTGACCAGAAAGGTTACTTCTAGGGTGAGAGAGTCTTTGAATCTCGGCAGGGCGCCCTCGGGTAGGCCACTCATAAAATTTAAGACGGTCCGTGCTGTCCTCTTATGATCGACTAACCTCTTAGACAATAATGTGCATGTTTTCTGGGGCCTATGACTGCCAACGAGGAATTAGCGGGAGGAGGACGTACGCACGGTGCGTGCTCTCGGCGCTGTGACTTTTCTGTCGGCTGGTGGACTACCCCGTGTAACTTCTCATCGAATGCAGCTCGGTTTCCAGAGGTCTGCGAGTACACTAGGTGATTTTTTATCTTCAATCTTATTTTATGTTTCTTCAACTGTTTTAACCACACTGACTAAGTATCTTCCTCTGCTGGACTTGTCCGCAGGAGGGATGGGTGGGAAGAGCCATAGACAGCGCCACATTACAGAGCTGAGGGCTTGCAGCTGAGGCAGAGGGGCGGCGGCTGCTCCGGCTGACCGGCGGGGTTGTTTGGCGAGTGTCCCATTTCCCACACCGGGCATGAGGTATGGTGCTGAGATCCGGGTCTGGTCCGTCGGGGATCGGGGCATTCATCATTCCTACTTGAATCTCAGGCAGGCTCTCCTCCACTACCGCAGCTTGGATCCTGAGCATAGCCACACATGTGAAAGTAATAAACTGAATTTTACGAAAGTTAAGAATGTTTACCTGATGAGTCTTTTTTTGAAACATCTTTCCATGTGACTTGCAGGTGCCTGCTCAGATGACTACTTGGAGGTTTGCCAGAGATTTTGTAACCGCCCATTTTTCCTTATGTTTCAATAGTAGTTACTGGTCTGTGTAAATAGTAGCCAGCCGGCTCATGAAGTTGCGTATTATTTTTGCAGTCCGGAAAAAATTACTATTTATGTTTTCTATTTTTATTTAACCCCCCTTTTTTTGGAGCATGTGTTGCATGGTTTTTTATGGGTAGAAAGTAAGTACAGGAATTATATTTTTGATGAGAAAATTTAGATACTTAGTGGCAATAATGAATTATGGTGTCTATATTAAGTAAGGAAATTTGAGAGCAATTATTTTATGGAGGAAGGAAATTTTAAGGAATGTATTTTTATTGCGATTAAAGTTTTAAGAGAGTTTTGTAGAGATACAGTTATATTTTTGAAGGCATTATAATTGCGGGAGAATATTTGGTAGAAAAGACCAAAACACCCATCCAATTTGGAGGAAAAAGACCCAAATACCCCTTAGTTGCCTTTATTAAAACGGCAACCACAATATTGAGCAACAATTGTTACCTTTCTTCTTCTACTTACAGCGTTTCCTTTCTCCTCCTCCTTTCCTTCTTCTTCTCTTCTTTCCTTTTGTTCAAATTTCTTACACTTAAGTAAACACTTTAGGAAACACATCAATTCACCCATCCAACTATGATTTAGAGTTTACTGAAATCTTAGAGAGTGTGGAAGCTAGGCAAGTCATTTTTGGTACTAATTTTCAAGGAATTTGGTGATTTTCCTGACTTGGCGTCAAGTAAGTGATTTGCTATTGATAAGTTAATTATTTTTGCAGGTTAGAGTTGTCGTTTAGCATATAATTGCTTAACATGCTCCAATTTACTTCTTTTAATTTTGCTTTTCTTTGTTTTGATTTTTGAGTTTCTTTACGTACGGAGGTGGAGAGCCTTTCTAAACAAAGATAGAGGCAAGACCAAGCCTTGAGAAGCTTTGATTTAAAGCTTGTTTAAAGCTTGTTTTGAAGGTTAGTGTTCATAATAACACACTTTCCTTACTCAAATTTTTTATTTTGGGCCTTTATGCTATATGTGGGATATTTTGGGATTTTGTCATGAAATGACTTGATTTGATTGAATTTTTGCGTTGCAATTACATGCTCTCTGCGGTGATGTGTCGATGAGTTTTATGTTGTAAGGCTAGACATTTCTACCTTGTATCTTGTGTGTTCATGTTCCTTTCATGGCCTAAAGTAAAACTGAATCTTGGCGAAAAAACCGGAAAACCGCGGTTATTGGTGAGCATTAAGCCGACCATTTTTTCTATCTTATATTTTCATTTGGTGTCTGAGTCCTTTTCATAGAAGTTGTTAGGTCTACATCTTATCTTTACTAACCGCATCCTCTTAATTGTCCAATTTATCCTCTTTTGTCCAATTTGGAGATATATAACTCAACTTATGGCTTAAACACCCAAACTGACTTTGTTTGTGTCGGGCCACATGCATCACTGAATTGAGTGGCAATTTTGACCACTATAATGACAAGATTAGGTTTTGAGTTCTTCATAAAAGTCGTTTCCCTGTGTCTTGAGAATTCTCTCGTTCTAGATTAGTTTAATTTGAGTGTCTGGTTTAGTAAGAATTCAATAAACAATGGACTTGGTTCTGCTGAATCAGGTCTGATCTGTTAGTCTGTGTTCCTAACTTTGTTTTGTTATCTTTCATATTGATCTGGGCTGTGATTCCTTCATAAAATTTGTAGAATTTTGTCTTAGCTTTCTAATGACTCTGATTTCATTTAATTTGGAGACCCATAACCTCAAGTTATGTTTAAAAAACACAGCAAGGGTCAATGTTAATTTTATGCTGGAATTTTTCTATGTTAAGTCATTTTGTAACGGCCCAGCCCATGTGTGATATTGTTCGCTCTAGGCCCTACGGCCCGCACGGTTTTGTTCTTGGGGGAAATGGGAAACTTCCCAGGAGGTCACCCAAGAACAAAACCGTGCGGGGTGATTATTGGAGTTTGATGGGGTTTTGGAGTTTTGAAATTTGGGAGTGCTTTTGCGTAATTCAATATGTTTGCAAACATTCTATTTTTAGGGGAAAACTGTTTGCAGTTTTTCTGTAGGAACTCCAAACTCAATTTTCAAACACAAAATATTATTACTTGCTGAAAATTGTGAATACTAAGTCACTTCTAATTCATAATATGATTGATTTATATGTAGGTTAGGACGGTGCCTCCGGCACCGACTGTAGCATCCACCGTTGGGTCTTTCGGAATCGGGCGGCGGGTGTTACACCAATATACATTTATAAAGAATATAGGAGAATATAGTGATACAATTTATATTTAGTATTCTAAAAAAGCTAAAGTATTTCTTGAAGTTAAAAAAATAATAAATGGAAATGTTTAGATATGAAACATTAAAGATATAGTAACGGTTATTAGAGGAAATGTTCGTTACTTTACACATTTGAGAGTAAAGATTTGTTACAAAATAATATATTAATACATTAATCAAATAATTCATTGTTGTTATACTTTATCATTTTTTAAAAACTAATAATTGATAATAATTACTTAAGACCATTAATACATTAAATAACCAAATCAAATCAAACCAAACCAACAAATCAAACCAAACCAAAAACACTAATTCAAAATAAATCCAAATCAAACCAATACATTAATACACTAAATAATCAAATCAAGCCAAATCAAAAACACTAACTCAAGATAAATCCAAAGTAAACCAACACATTAATACATTGAATAATCAAATCAAATCAAATCAAACCAAAAACACTAATTCAAAATAAATTCAAACTATGCCAAGTGGAAGTCTGGTTGGAGAAATATGCCACATGTCAAATTAAAATGCCAAGTGGATATGCCACATGTCAACTTTCTAAGAAAAAAAATACTTGCTTTATATATATATGCTTTATATATTAATATATATATATAATATATAATATATATATCTATATATATATATATATATGATATATATATATATATATAATATATATTATATATATATTGAATTGTGATATGCATACATAATTTAATTAAATATTGATTTACTATTTACATTTAAATTTTTAAATCTCAAGTTTTATTAAATTGATTTGTAGAAAATAACTTTAAAATTTTGCAATGTTTAAATTTAATTTAATAATATAGTTAAAATTTTATAAATTTAAATTATGAAACAATAACTTTTTTGGGAAAAATATATAATATAAATATTATTATTAAAAAATAAAATATTCTATTTAATTTATACTATATAGTCAAATATATTTATGATTTGAAATTATATAGTCAAATATATTTATGATTTGAAATGACTATTTTTGTGCTAATTATTTATTTAATCTTTATTAAGTTAAATGATTATTATTTTTTATTATATTATTGATTATTATATCTCAACATTTATGCTTTGCATTTATTTAAAAATTAAAGCATTTTGGAATTCTCTATGCCATAACTTTTAATTTTTCTAATACACAGTAATTTCAGAATCCTATATGCTATAACTTTTAATTTTTTTAATCCTATATGGCACTACAACTTTTCTAATTCTACATGGAATACATAGTAATTCTACTTGGCACTTTTAAGGAAAAGATGCTTGCTCTCTCTCTCTATATATATATATATATATATATAATATGCACAATAGATGGAGAGAACATGTAAGTTATACAACAAGGATAAACTAAGAGAAAATTCAAACTCTACTCCCCAATCTTCTACAAAAAATGATAAAAACTCCTGGACCACCTCTAATTGACTGTTGTACAGTATTTTGAATGAGAGGGATAAAAAGCTTATACTGAAGCTTCCTCTGAGATCATGTGGGAGGGGTGATGGTTAGTACTGGAGTAGGGAAACAACCGGTATATATTCTGTTAAAATTGCATACGGGTTTCTAACCTCTGTGCCTCTTGCGCCAGATTTGATTGAAATGAAGGCTTTTTGGGGTTTGCTATAAGATTAAAAATCTGATATGGAGAGTGGGACTTAGCAGTTTAGCTGTCAAATCTCTTTTGCTTGCTCCCGGTATTGAAGTCAAATCTCTTTTGCTTGCTCCCGCTATTGAAGTTGATTCTCTTTGCCCTGCATGTGGTGCTATAACTGAAGACTAGGTTCATGTGTTTGTGGACTGTGTATTCGCAAGGGAGTGTCAGAGTAGGACTGTCACAAGTACATTGTCACAGTGCAGTGCAATCCCGTGGGCGCAGAGGATAACAATTGTAGTACTCCTGGTAGAGTGCATTTTCTGAAAATGAACTTGTATTCTCACTTTTACGATCACTTTTACGATCGAACTTGTATTCTCAATTTTATAAATATTGAGATCTCTTACAATCTAACTAATAAGTTGTTTATTTTTCCTTTTAACATATTTGTGAACACTCAGACGAGTATAGTGGAGAAGGAGAATAACCTGCATAATTGTTTAAGTGACAATAGTAATTCTGAAGTGCAGGCAAATAGTTATGGCTTAAAATTACAAAATTTAAAATTTTAGGATCCAACCGAGGGAAGTTTGAGGTACCAGAACCTTAATGACCATATGTCAGAATTCCATTTCCTTGTGAATTAGTCAACCAAACATATTAATCCGTGCACAGGCCTGACTAGCAATTACATAATAGACGGGCTTGATTCCCTTTCTGCAATGGTAAAAAGATATCATAGGTATCAACAGTTCTCAGTGACATAACTTTGAGTAAGTATTAAAAATGGCTTAAAATAATTAATTAAAACAAAAAGATTATTAGTCAAAAATGCCGACTTCTGTTGTCACTATTAACATGAATGGATCTAAATCCGCAAGACGGCAGCAACCTTTAGAAAACAAGAAAATACATTTGTCGAAAGCCTATGTCTTGTGTTAACAGAATAATTTGATGCCGGCAACAAAAATGACATTGATAACCATGAAGAAAACAATAAAAGGGATGGTATACCATAATGCACCATAAACCATATAGCAGTTAACCCCTTTTGGGTTCATCAGAAATTCTTAAACAGAGGCTTCCAGGTTTAAATTCTTGACTACTAGCCAAATATACAACATATTAGTACGCACCATTACCCTCTACAACACAAAATTACTTCCTGTAACTACCCTATTTATACGAAATTAACAATGGAAAGCAACTCTGCAGTCATTCAATACCATGTCATCATCAACAGCCCCAGAACATCAACTGGTAGCGTAAGATATGCACAAGAAATCGGAATAGAACTCAGCAAGCAAACACTAACAAATGCTACGGATTTCATATGGACACTCTTGCAATTAAACAAAGAAACAGAGAGAAAAGGTGTGCAAGACATCAGCTTGATCATTGAAGACATGGAAGGAGTTGCATATACAGATGACAATGAAATTCATTTTAGCACAAAATATGTAGCAAATTATTCCGAGGACTTGAAAAGTGAAGTTATCGGAATTCTTTACCATGAGATGACACACATATGGCAATGGAATGGTAATGGAAAAACTCCAGGAGGATTAATTGAAGGGATAGCTGATCTTGTAAGGTTAAAGGCTAATTATGCACCTAGTCACTGGGTGCAGCCAGGGCAGGGCGAGAGGTGGGATCAAGGGTATGATGTTACGTCTAGGTTTTTGGATTACTGTAATGATCTTAGAGATGGTTTTGTGGCTGACCTTAACAAGAAAATGAGGAGTGATTATAAGGTTGAGTACTTTGTTGAGCTACTAGGGAAGCCTGTTCATCAGCTTTGGAATGAATACAAGGCCAAGCATACATAAGGTTGAGTACTTTGTTGAGCTACTAGGGAAGCCTGTTCATCAGCTTTGGAATGAATACAAGGCCAAGCATACAGCAAGGTAGAGGTATTGGCTACTAGCTGCAGAAAATGTATGCTGAGAATATATTTTTCGTAAGTAAATTCTGGTGATTATTATAATTAAATACCTTAATTATAATTGTTTAAATTTGCAAATCAATTTGAGATACGTTAATCAGACTATCAAGGCAATGACCCTCTTTTACAACAAAGAGTGAATCACAGTTTCTGCGACAGGCCTTCCTAACCAACATCTTTCTCATATCAAGATATCGTTGCACAATTCATATTCATAATCAGGTAATCCAGTGGCTGAATACATAAACCAAAACATAAAGGAGAAAGTTTTTCATTCATTTTTGTTTACAAGTCCAGACATTTTACATGGACAAGGAATCCAAGCACTTGAAGTTTTATTATTACTTATGAGTTCACAAATAGGTTAATTACTTAAGCTGGTAATGCTTTACTAAACAGTTCTATATCTATAAAATTACTGCAATTTATGCTAATTGTGATGCAATTCTAACTCTAGAAACTGTGAGGCTTTGTTGACAAGGATGAATTGTACATGAGGCTACATTCTTACATTTTGTTATTTTTTTCAAAACAATCAGACCTGCCAACTTCAACTTTGATGTGATAATTCTGGAGTTCTACAAACCCTAACCTAATTATTTTACATCAATAATCCTTGATTTTAAATTTAAGAGAAATCAACATATACTGAAAGAACTATGAACATTAGTAGTAAATTTCATCCTGCCATCAAGGTGCCTCTCCAGTCTCTACAATACACAAGTTAAGAAGTTGCATGATCTACTCACACAGAAAGCCAATATACCAATACCAGCAATGAGTTAACAGAATATAAGTAATTTGAGTGACATTAATGGGGCCGAAACCAAAATGTAAGGTAGGGAGCACAAAATACACACAGAACATAGCTGCACGCATTCTCATCACTGATAGAAAATGCAACAGTTATTTTTCACGACATACATATAGAACAGAGTTGTATCTCTAACCAGAATCTCAGTAACAAAGCATAAACTTTATCCAAAAGTTTATCAAGAATCCAATGGCCTAATGGCTGAGACAACTTCATTTATGGATTGGAAGCGCCGCCTTTCCTTAAGAAGAAGTTTTGCAAACTCAAGTGCCTGCCTCTCACATTCAGCTCGTTTGCTAGCATCTTTAATTGATTCAAAATCCTCAACATGGGCTACACCAACAATTCTCCTTTCAATTGGGAAAAATAAAACAATATCAATGTGGCATTCAGAATCAATAAAATTCAAGAATTGGGATCTCATAAATAATTTTAAAATGTAAACATATGATAAATATGATACAGAAATACAAGTTGCAAACTGCATTCCTTTAGGTTGGGCAGGATTAAAAGTAAAAATTTTCAGAGTATGCTCTGTAAGGAGCTCATTATCAATAGCTGCTTCATCTCTGCCCACATAAAGATGGTTCCTTCTTCATGCTACAGTGCCTTGATTAATCTTTGTGAATTTAATTTTTATATACCAGCAATGAGCTTAATAATATATTTAGTAGCTTAGAACAGAATACTGGGAAGAAGAAATGATACATCCCACCCAAATTAGTATAGATCTAACTTTGTGGACTACCATTAGTAACATTACCTCAACAATCTAGCTGAAAGTCTAAATTCAATGCCACAAGTTATGAAAGAAGAGCATGTCCCATAAACATTTATTGAGGTATGATCCCATCATAATTGGATAGTCTGACAAGATCTTACAGATACGAGAAGATATAATCATCAACAGTAACAGCAGCACCAGTAATACTAGTGTTTTATACATTTTAAATCAAATACTTAAATTCCAGTTCATTTCAGACAGTGTTTAATGTCGTTAGAAAGAAGCTAATGAGCTATCAAAAAGTTAAAGTTGCATGGAAATGCAAAAGTCTTGAAGCTCTAGCTAAGCCACAGAATTGTAGAAGTAACGATAGTAGTACATCTCAGAACAAGCACAAGGAAAATACATAAGACAAAGTAGGAAGCTATGATCTCACCTTATCATTTTGGCTGCACCAAATCCAAGGGTATCATGGAACAAACCTTTCAAAAAGTTTTCCTGTACAAGCTGACGAACCTCAGGGTTGTTATAAATTGCTGGAAGATATGCCTCACCAGGTCCATCCTTGTGCTCATCCCAAAGCCCAATGAATTTTTTGTAAAAAAGATTCCATGTTTCTTCAATCGTCTTTAAAATCCACTCTTTATATGACTGCATTAGAATGTGGCTTTCAGAAATAAACCTCAAGTATAATTAACAACAAATACTACAAAGGAATTATTTGATTTAATGTAGGAATTATTTAGATTTAATATTAGTTAAGCAAATTTATATTATTGTGTGAAGGAGCCTTATGTATCCTCCTATACAGAGAATATGGGCCTATTATTACTTCGAACTTTATTATTTAAAATGTGCATTGCTTTCTATTTACTATTGGTTTAGAATTTTCCTTGTTTAGAATTTCTAATTCACATAGTATGAGAAAATAGTCATCAAGTCTCTGTGAATGTCTTCAAAATCAAGTACTTGTTTGAGATCGCATTTCCAAACAGTTAAATCAATACAGTTTGCATGTTTATATGGTAAAAATGTATATTTAGGAATTTTTTTATTTGGCTTAATTTTAATTCACTTATTTGATTTAGACAACGAGCCACAGCCATCAGGAACTGAAATTGAACACCTAAAAAGGGTTTTGAAAAGTTATTTAACGGATGATCAGCCACAATTGACCTAACAGTACTTTTAGCTCCCATTATGCTCCACTTTCACTCTGTTTAATCATGGGCTCCTAAATTCGCACCTATAACATTGCAGTACAGCATTTGACACGTTTCAAGTTGTTATGAGCATCATAAAGGCCCCATTTGTTACCTTTCATTGGTAACACCAACACTCTTACCTCCCCAGCTCAAAGTCCAAGTGCACTAGAGAGCTTTTCTCAGCTGCTTCGCTTTGTAATCAAGCCTGTTTGTACGTCAAATCTTACTTTCCACCAGATATCCTACTTCATCTAGACACTCCTCAATTTGATGTAAAGACTATTTAACAAGAGTTTATTTATTATGGTATGCAATATTTTTCAGTGAATTATTATTATACTGATAGTCTAATACTTTCAGCCATCTTGTTACTTTTGAAAATAAGTTTATAGCAGTAGCAGTGCAGTGCTAGCCACAACCATTAAGCTAAAATAAGTTTTGCAGTAGCAGTGCACAGTGCTAGCCACACCATAAGCTGGCAGCAATTCTCTGACCACTGTGATTGCGCCACAGCTATGGTTTAGAAACATGCCTTGAAGATGAATAAATTCACTTAACGATTAGTAAGATAGCAAATGAATAGATATTGTAACAATGATCAAGACAGCATCCCGCTTAATGCTGTTACTAAAATCTAGAAATAAAGAAAACAAGGCATGAAGATCTTAACAAAAGAATACTAATGCAGGTACAAATATTTAAGCTTGAAATCGAGAAGGCATTCAGTAAGGGTGAGCTCAAAATAATATCAGTGGAAAATAAACAGAGTGATGAATACGACATCATAAAGCAACAAGGAAAGACATAAAATAAATAAACAGAAAAGGTTGGAGAAAAAAAAACTTGAACATACCTTTCGATCATCTACTGGACTCGCATGCATTCTTGAGAAAAAGTATGCCAAAATCAAGTTTCGCAATAAAAAAGCTCCAATATCAAAACCCATTGGACCATTAGATGCAATTCTGATCTAATAACCTGAGTTGAAGAGAAGTACCATGACAGAACCAGTGTGGAGATCTCCATGGATTAGGGCTTGAGCTTTCACAAAACTATAGATAGGACAAGTCTGATCGATTAGATGATGAATTCATTGAAACACTGTTATGGAGCAATGAAGCTAAGAGATTGAAAACACTACCTGGATTTCAATTCAGTACTTCAAGCTTTTAAAATGTTTATTCCGTCCCGGACAGCACAGCATCCTGATCAAGGTAAGGGAAGATCCCAACGTTGTATTCAGATACTTGTTAAGGGTCAGAAAAAACAACCTGCTCAGTGAGCTGCTAACTCCACATCTCCACAGATTCAGCACTGCATAAGCATCTTAAAGTGAGTATCTTGGGCAACATTTCTTCAAGATTAAGATTGCCAATAAACCAATCAAAAAAATTCGTTGTATATATATAACAAATGAATCAAATGAACTTACAAAATGGGAGATTAGAAATCTAACCAACACGTTAATGCTCGGTCCGTTAGGTAAGATTACAAAAGGGAAGTATAAAAAAAGAGTCCTTGCCATATAGTCTGTATGTGTTCTGCTAGATTGAGGGTACTGCACTCCAGCAATTAAACCCTTTTCGGAGGCATAATATGTGGCGGCTGCCAAGTATGCCATAGCTCAAGACATATTACGGTCAAATGATAAACTTCGGAACATGTAGGGGACAATTTTCCGTGCTCTTTATGTGCACGACCCTCAAAATAAACTCTTTCCTTTAGTCTAGGCCATGATTCTCATACACGTATATAAGGAGTGCTACACTTTACAACGCAACAAAATGAAAACAGGACCTTAACACTTCAACTCATTTCAAATGGTTGGTTGCATCAGATTTCATTCAAGAGAAGGAGAATATCAATTGAGATGTAACCATCGACTGATTAAAAATATAGTTAAATTATCAAACAGAAATTAGACGTAACATAACAAAACTGAAAACCCATTTCCCAAGTTTCAACTTTTACCTGTTTGATGACAAAAGAGCCAGCGGAGCCAATAACAATGTAGACAAAATTGAGATTCCCATCTCCAACTTCTTTAACCTCTAAGTTATCGAACTCGTTACCAATCTTGTTCGACAGAACAGGAGTGGCCTTTATGTATTCAACCAAAGCGTTCTCATCCAGTGGCCTAAACTCAGAGAATGCCATGTTGATCGTAGACGGCGGCGGCGGAGGTAGTAGCAGTGGCTGTGGACCCGGTGCTGCTGGTGGGAGTGGTGGTTTCTATCGGGAGGTAAATGGGAGGGTAGCACTTGTAAAGGTAAGTAAGGTAACATTGCCAAAAATGACGCGTGACCCATGCGAGACTTTGGAATAGTCAATTGTTCATGCGGTTCATTGAATGTGGTCGTTTTGTGATCATTCAAAGAGTTAGGAACATTTCAGGATAGCGTATTATTGCAGCATAGCCAATTGTAAGAGATTAGTGTTGGAAAATCCTGTATTATTGATAATTTTCTTTTATAAAAAAAAAAATTGTAACATCTTTTTTTATCTTAGAAGGATTAATTCATTTTTTTTTAAATTCAAAACCAAGCTAAAATTGTAGTGACCGTCCAAATTTTGAAGTGAAACAAACGCGCTTCGTTTCGGGGGTGGGATAAGCTCCAAAATTTGTCCAAACTCACCTATCGCTATGCGCACGTTACACAGCCAAATCGCACTCTTCCAACTTCTTTCAGCTGGCGACTGGAGCCAATTGAACTGGCGCCAATCTAATCCAATTCCATTAAATGGAGATGCCAATGTTCATAATCTGTGCAACAATCTTCTCTCTTTTAATCTCGGCAAACTTCGGACAATCCACCTCCGATGAATCCAATCTCCGGCTCCGATCACCGGGCGAGACCTTGTGCAGTCGGCTCATCAAACCTGCCGGTTACCCTTGCACCGAACACACCGTACCTCTCTTTCTCTCTAATTCCTTTAATTTCTTGATTTAAATATTTCCGAGCTATTTGTACTCTTTGTAGATGTTAAAAGTATATTTCATTTTCAAGAATTTGAATGTATTGACGGTGCTTAGACTTCTCAACCAAACAGACAAATTCTAAACTTTCACTGTTTTGTGATAATTAAATATTTAATTGTAGCAATTCACAAACTTCGTCTTATTTTCTATAAAATTTTCTTTGGAGTTGAATTCAAATGCATGAAAATTAAAAATTGCAGTGCGTGTAGCTTTTTTTTTTTTTTTTTTGATTGGAAATTTTTTTGAATTTCTAGCTGTTGCTTTGGTTTCCAAAAAGGATTCAAGATTTGGTTAATGATTCGGTTATCTATTACTTAACTTTTTCCAGATACAAACGAAGGATGGTTACTTATTGGCTCTTCAACGTGTGTCATCACGTAATGGGAATCTAAGGCTGCAAAGTAGCTCTCCTGTTTTGCTTCAACATGGACTCTTTATGGTGAAATTCCTACCATTTTGCTTATTATTGTTTTACATTGATGCTTCTTATTTTGCGTATTTGATAAATCCTGTTCTTATTGATGAGTTATTCAATTGAATCTTTTATTCAATTTAGGGAAAAGGGACTCTCTTGCAACCTAATAAAATAGGAAATCAAAGAAAATATCTTTTATTGTTGATACCCTTAGGATATTATTCAAATATGGAAAAGATTGTTTAGAATGAAGAGAAATTTCGTTTTTCAGATCATTTAATCTTAATGATATTACCTAATTTTGAAATGCTAATAGGCAGGTGATGCATGGTTTTTGGACGCTCCAGAGCAATCTTTGGGCTTCATCCTTGCAGATCAAGGATTTGATGTATGGGTTGGAAATGTACGTGGAACATTTTGGAGTTATGGCCATGTATCTCTGTCAGAGAGAGACAAGGTAGATGGAACCTATAAAATATGCCCATCTCTCTGCTTCTATGCCTCAAGTCATCCAATGGCTGGGTGCTTGTAGTGGAGGGCCTGATATTCGAGGCAAAAAGCCTGTTATCTTTTTGGCTATGTTTAGCTGCAACTGTGTTTGCATCCCGTGTTTATTTGTCGGGATGTCTTTTGATTGCAGGAATTTTGGGATTGGAGCTGGCAGGAGTTGGCTCTATATGACCTTGCAGCAATGATACACCACATATATTCAACAACAAACTCCAAAATTTTTGCTGTTGGACATTCACAGGTTTAACATATGGTCATTGACATTTGCATCTAGCATTGGCTCCTTGCTCAGTGTTAACTTACTTTATTGACTTAACCTACAGGGAACGATCATGTCTCTGGCAGCTCTCACACAGCCAAACATCGCAGATATGGTTGAAGCTGCTGCTCTTCTTTGTCCAATATCATACCTGGAACATATAAGTGCTCCGCTTGTGCTTAGAATGGTAGGCGTGCATCTTGACCAGGTACATTTGGTTTGCTATTCTTTGCATCGTCTTGTTGCTGATATTAGTGACAAAATGACAAACATTTCTTTTCTCGCAGATGGTTCAGGCTATGGGCATACATCAACTGAATTTTAGAAGGTCTTATTCTCCTCCCTCTTTCTCTTTCTCTCTAATATTTTTCTTTCATACTTATAACTTAAATTGTCTTTGGTAATTTAAATTTTTCCCGTTTTATGTCTACAGTCAAATCTTAATTAACCTTCTGGACTCCTTATGTGATGGTCATTTTGAGTGCAACGACTTGCTAACTTCCATAACAGGTTCTATCTCTCTCTCCTTTTAAAATTTTAAGTTTTCCAGGCTGTTAGGACATTGATATCCCCTTATTGTTTTCCTTTATGGCATATTGGTAAACAAAGTACTCTAATAAGGATATCTTTTTAGTCGGCATATGCTAATAATTTAAGTTTTGTTATAAGATTTGATTATATTTTTCAGTTTTGCAATCATGAATGATGATTACAATGGAGACTGTGGTTCCTATTTCCTGATATAACAAAATTCAAAGAGCATTTCACAAGCAAATCTGGAATTTTACAATTATTTTCAGTCTTTTTAGTTCTGATGTTCCGTAAAACCATATGTGGTTTTCTTGATTCCTAATGGGAGTCCTATGGGACATATAAAAGCCTGTATATAGATATACTTATCGAGAAGTGATGACTGAAAAGATAATTTCCTATAGTTCTGTCTTGTAAAATCAGCAGTTGAGTAATCCTGATTGAGATCGATATAGACTTTTATACTTTTACATGCAATGGTGGTTCCACTGTTTGAATTCTCCGAGATTCAAACTTAGTGAGTTGATGTATTTATCATCTCTTGATTAGCCACTTTTGGAAATTATTAAGAATTCTTTGATAGCTCTCAGATGCTGGACTTAAATTAATCTAGTCCCATTACAATTGAATCAAAGCATCAATGATGCTTCATATTTATTGTTAAAATCCTTTTTAGCAGAAACTTAGATCTTGATGACATTATTGAGAAATGGGAGATAGTTTATATTTTGATTTTTGACCGCTGAAGGATACTAGTAGTCCAGAATGATAATATATGTAGCTTTGACTAGATTGACTTAATTCTGCTTCATTCACAAGCTTACTTCAATCATCACATGTTTCCATATAGTGTCAAGGCATCATTTCATGCTTCTATTGTAAAAGCTCTTATTTATTGAAATGCCATGTTGATTCCATTAAGAAATCCAGATTAATGAATCTTTATTTGATAAAGAAATCGAAAAAGGTCATCTTATAAGTTCTGTTGAAATGCATGACATTAACTGACATGCACAGCCTGTCTCTATCTTTAAAAAGCCTTTTTCTCTTTTTGTTCATTAGAAGTGGGGAAAAACCATCTTTCTTTCCCATAAATCTCCACACTACAGGAATTACAAGATCAGCCTAAGGTTTCCTTTGATGTCCAGCTAAAATAGATAAATTCAGCTCTCTTTATTTGTAAGTGTACTAATTTTGCAAATGCTGTAATTTATCTGCTGAGTATTTTACTTTTAGATTTTTGGAGACTTTTAAGTTGGCTACCTTTAATTCCACATCTATACAATGAATAAAAGGCACCAGATATAATTCACGGGATATAAAGTTATGCCTAATGGTAAAAGTTCAAAAATAGACCTTGTTGTTTGGTTTTTTTTTTTTTTTTTTTTTTTTTTTTTTTTTTTTTTTTTTTTTTTTTTTTTTTTTTGCTATCATAGTATTATGAGGCCTAATTCATTGTTACTTAAATACTGTTTTTGGCTACTATAACTAAAATTAAACTTGTGGTGCCCATGTGTAAAATAAAAATTAGACTTGAATAGTATCCATGTAATTAATTTTTTAAAATAATATTTTTTATTAGTAAATAATATAACATATAAAAATGGATTTTTTCAAGCGTATTGCTACTATCTCTCATAAATAATTTGGTTATACTTTTAATGGGTTAATTTTACACTATGGGAAGTGGGGACTATTTGAAATAAATTAATGATATTATGATATTGGAATGAAAATGAGTAAAACCTTATGGTACTGTAATTCATTGATTCAACGCACGAAGCATTCCATATTATGAACAAAAAGATTCCATTATCCCCTGAGCGTCAAAAATTCTTTTGCTGAACCACAGTGAAATTTGTTAACTTTGCCTAAAATATTATTGTGATGGGATTACATAAGGCCTATAGGACAGCCTTGCTTAGTTTTACCAAGCATGAATGGGAATTGCAGATGCATTCAAAGTTCGAGGACAGCAGTAAAGTTTCAAGACACCTCAAAGAGGATCTCTAAGAGCATGTGCATGGTTTAATGGCTTAGCATTTGCAGAGAATAGACTGAATAAAGTTCTATTCTGCTGTATTTAGATGTTCAATATATATGTTTGTGTGCGCGATTGCAAGTGAACTTGCTTTTTTGGTATTTTAACTTCCTAAAATTGGCATTTTGCAGGACATAATTGTTGCCTCAACAGCTCACATGTGGCTTTATTTTTTGAATATGAACCTCACCCATCATCAACAAAAAACCTCCGTCATCTTTTCCAGAGTATGTTCCATGCACTTTCTTTAAGTTCTGTAAATCTCATGATTTACTTTAAGTGAGTTTTCAGGCAAGCATAACGAGTTTTTAGGATTTCTGGGAGTATTTTTCTTAGTTTCTCCTTCATTGCATTCTGATTTCAATCAAAGGGGTTTCAAAGCTGCAAAAGGATGACAATTGGATTTTTTCCTTGGTTCTCTTTTTTTGTCCTTACAAAAATGCAGGATATGAGAGATTGGACTGAATTTTTAATTTTTTATTTATTTTCTTTATACCAATATCCTATATATACTACTAGCCTACTAGGCTGGGGGTGTGAATGATTTATTATGTTCTTTTGATTGCATATAAGTTATATGCATTTCACTAGGATACTGATGTATTTATAATCAATTCTATGATAAATCACTAAATGAGTCATTAATCTTGTGCTTGTGGCTGGCAGTGATTCGTCGAGGTACTTTTTCCCAATACGATTATGGGATATTGAAAAACCTGAGGCTATACGGCCAGGTGGAACCCCCGGCATTTAATCTTAGTCTGATCCCCAAATCATTGCCAATATGGATGGGCTATGGAGGCTATGATGCTTTAGCAGATGTGAAAGATGTGGAGCACACACTCAAGGAGTTGCAGTCAAAGCCTGAGCTGCTTTATCTGGAGAACTATGGCCATATAGACTTCCTTATGAGCGTACAAGGTAAAGACGATGTTTTTCACCATATGATTGCATTTTTCAGGTCAATCGAAAAGTTTACCAGTTCTTGAGTTGGTCACTTGTAAATACATAACAAAAATTGTTGTAATGTATATCTTGTAAATGCGATTACCACTTAAGTATTCACTACCTTGACCAAAGAATATGCTTGTAAAAGTGAACTAGCCAATTGATGCTTAGAAGCTATGTAATTTAAAGATGGCTTGCATTTTTTTTTTTCCTTCTATGATTCAGTTGATTAATCTTTTTTTTTTTTTTTTCCAAAAGTACTTGTAATAAATCTAGGAATAATTCATTTAAAAAACCCTGACATGTAGGTTTTATATCAATTGCATTCTATTTTCACCTTTAACTCTCTCTACACTTCAATTTCAAAGTTCAGTATTAGCTGAACCTCAATTTGAAAACAGGGTTTAAAAAAATAATAAATAATTCATTTGTGGGATCTAGACACTGACACAACGGTTAACTAACCGAACCTAACTCTACATCAAAACGCGCCGTTTCCGTAATCTTCTTCAACTCTCTCCACCGCCAAACACTAATCACCAAATGCACTAAATACTCTGATCTCTCTTTCTCGTCGGAAAATACATATTACGACGATGGACGGACTTCTTGAATAGGGAGGGATCAACGGCGGCGACGACGGGACCGAGAAGAAAGGGGTTCACGGAAGGATGAGACGCTTTACAGTGTGTTCACAGTTTGTTGGCAATGATCTTCGTGCCGGAATCCGGCAGTAGGAAAAGAAAAAAGTAGAACAATAAAAGCCTAGAACTTTACTTGGTGGCCACTTTCATTGATGAGATCAGGATCTGCAGACCTAGGCTGAGGGATGCTTCTGCGTTTCTTCTTAACATTTCTTTTAACTTTGCTTGCTCTTAAAACATCATCTCCCGTTGTTCTTCTAATGGGTATGGTACGTTCAGGGCATTTACCATTTATGTGCCACAACAGAGTAATTGGGTTTGTTCTATCTTTTGATTCTGTTGCCACTTTGTTATCATCAAAAAGCCCTTCTGGATGGTAACTAAGCCTCATCTAAAAAAAAACCGAAAATACATAAAATCAGTAACAGCTGGCTTAATCTTCCTTTGTTCTTCTAATAGGTATAGTACGTTGAAAAGTTGAAGAATTTTTACCGACTTCAAAGGCAGACGCGCTAGCTTAATCAGAGCTCTCACCACTGGTTTGATTTTTTTTTTTTTTTTAAATTCGCTTTTTAGCTTTCGTATTCATAAATATGTGTATTTGCTGAACTGGGTTTGCTTAATTCCCATGTATCATTAATGGATTTCTCTTATTTTTGATTTTGAGTGGTCTTCTGTTCCTTTTTTTTTGGTTACAGATGTTGAAAAGTTCTACCAACAGTGTCCTTTTTGATTGAATGAACGTTAAATGGAAGGGGAGGGAAAGCTTTTCAAAGCGGTGCGTTTTGAAACTTTGAAAAGAGTTTGGGATTGGATTAGTTAATTTTTTTTTTTTTTTTTTTTAATCCTGATTTTATGATTTTAATTTGGTTTCGATTGTGAAATTGAAGTGTCGCGGTGGATAAGGTCAAAATGAAATGCAATGCATAAAAAATTCATAGGTGAGAGTATTTTAAGTGAAAGGAAAATAATTGTTTGGTCATTGCGATTTTATAAAATTAATTAATTTATCTTTATATTTTTTATTATTAAATATTTAATTCATAAGATTGAATTTTGTCTTATTAAATAGTATTTCTATCTAAAATTAGAGTGTTTTTTTCCATTGAATGAAGATTACAAGGCTAAAATATCCCTAATAATTAAAACAAATATTAACCAAAAATTAAAATTCGCCATTAAAAATAACAGAGACAGAGAAACCCTATTGGAGTATTGGGGGCAATTGCTATAAGAGGTCGTTGAGAAACAGAAATGCGGATGAAAAATAAAGCTCTCGCCGGTCCTTGATCTGAATTTACAGTAGAAACGCGATTAGACGCAGTTGTTGAGAAATAGAAAGGCGGAGGCAACTGAAACGTCGTCGACGCTATTGGAGGTGACTCGTTCAGATCATGACAAGGTGGAGCGACTCGAGCGGTTCACTGTGAAAGATCTTCAGAATGAACCGGCGACGAACAAGGACCGGCGACCCCAAAGCCACCGAGTTCGTAACATGATTGAAAACATAATTTGCACAACGAATAAACTTGTAAGAAAATTTCTCTTAATAAAAATGAAGTGCTCTCCGCTTTTGTTGGTTTCGAAGTCGGCTTCGCGGTTGTTGATGAAGAGAAAGGAGAGACCTTTACTCCTACTGGAAGAGAAGCCATGGCTATGTCAGTGACTAAGGTTTAGGTTGTAACAGATTTTGATTGGCTTGCTTTCCTGGGAACTGTGAAGTGGCCCTGCTTTCCTGGGAACATACTCGTGGCAGTATGCATATTTTGCTACAGTTATGGCCAAAGCTTTATTTCAAGGCATTAAATGATAGCGGTAATGTAAGGGAAAAAAAACGGCTTTTTGATAGCTGAAGCTTTAATAATTCCAAATTTGGGGTCTTGCATTTATGTGGGCTTTACTTTGTATGTATTCTGCTATATTGTCCAAGTTGTTAGAGAAATGAATCGCAGAAAACTACCACGCACAGCTGACACACATACGCAAAGAAAATAATAGTACAAGTTCTGGAAAATGAAGAAGTGGTTCAAGGCTGATGGTGAAGGCGAGAACCTCATATGGGGAGGACAGCTCAGGCCATATCTGCTCCTGGAGAGCATCTTTAGATTATAGATGCTGCCTCATTCGGTTTTTCAAGTAAACGAAGACTCTCAATATATGGAAACATACATGTGAAATTATAGTCCTTGTTCTTGCCCTTGAGTCCAAAAATAGTTATTTTTCCAGTCTTGAGGTCATATGAAGCAAAACCGAATACTCTTAACATGCCTACGTATTCTTCGTACACTCGTAGATTAATGACAAAATGTTTACTCCAGGATTCTAATACAACATACTCTTTCATTACCCATATGCAACAATTGTTGCAATAGTTGTTGAAATGCTTCAAATTAGAATTTATGTTATGCTCTTTCCATGACATATATTGTACCAAGGCAAGTGATTGGCCCTATATCTTCAATTCAAAGTCTCCAATTAAACCTTCAGGAATTTTCAATTCTGGAAACCCTCATTCGGCCAAATCGAACACAGATATAACATGTTCCTCGTGATGAATTTCATCAAGCCAATGGATAAAACCATTCAAAGAAAAAACATACGAGTCACATGCAGCACTATTAGCAAAAATAATTCTTTTCCAAGAATTGGTGCTAAGGCTATAAATATCAACTATTACCTTTGATGGTACGTAATGATTAAAGAAAACTCCTAGTATTTTATAATCATTCGATTCCTTACCATACCCAAACGCCGAAACATAGCTCATCCCCTCTTCGGATAAATGATTTCGTGAATATTTTGGAATGGTGACAATTTTTCCAACTGCAGGGTTCCATAGATAAATATTTCTATAATTTCTACAGTCATCGATTCTAATCTCCATAAGAATCAAACCATTACAAGAACCAATAGTAAAACGAAGATAACTGGAGGTAAAGTCATCAGATCTTTCATTAAAGATTCGAAAGCCACTATGCAAGTCATCATAATTGTACAATCAATGTTTCTGGTGTTCATCAAGGATAAAATTCTCTATGAGAATCTGATGGGGCTTTTGGGATTCAATGGATTGGTTCATTTGAAGAAAAATAAAATTAAGGTTTGTGATTAGAGAGTACCATGATTTGCAAACCAATCTGCATCTTAAGAGAGATCTGATAGGGACTCTTTTCAATATTTCTATCCACACTTCTTCGAGGAAATCATTAGATATACTCCAAACTTGTGTCTTGTAATAATTTTCATCCTAAATACAACTTAACCCCTCTGCACCCCAACTGAAACTTTTTGTCATAATTATACCCTAATTCAAAATTGGTTAAAATTAATAAATAAAATATATTAAATGTGGGTTCTATGGCTTATATTTGAGTTAACTTAACCCAAAGAATGAGTTGGCTAAATTATATAAAAAAAACCAAACGTTGGCAATTGTAACAATTACATCCCAAAACGACCTTAATTACTCAGATAGTCTAATTTTAACTTTTTATCGCAACTGCAGCTCAAATTCAAATTATAGCAAATATATTGTTATAAATAGGGGTCACATTCAATTAAAATTTCACCTTAAATTCAAATTTTATCTTATTTTAATAGAGCAAACCCTAAATTACTAGCAAAGAAGTAATCGATAAGAGATGATTAATTCTGAATAAGCAAATTATGACAAATATACTATCATAATTAATCTCTGAATTCAAAATTTCATCTCATTTTGATATGTAAATCCTAAATTACTCGAGAAAATATGGTGTACTACAAAAATAATCTTAAACCTCTAAACATCCAAAGACAAATTATGACAAGTTTATTGAATAAAAAAATAAAAACTGCAAGTATTTTGCTTTATTCTGAAGCCGTTGCAGAATATTTTGTTTTATTACGAACTTATCTCCTTTTGATTATTTCTTCTCTAGTAATCTAAGGTTGTCCTATTAAAATAAGATAAATTTTGAATTTAGGGTGGAATGGTAATTAAATGTGACCTCTAATTTGAATTCAACGTGCAATATGACAGCATATTTGCTATAATTTGAATTCGAGGTGCAATTGTGATAAAAAGTTAAAATTGGGGTATCTGAAAATTAAAGTATTTTGAAATGCAATTGTTACAAACGCCAAAGTTTAGAGTATTTATAATTTAGCCAACTTAAGTTAACTCAAGTATGAATTATGATATCTGCATTTAAGATATTTTATTCACTGATTTTTATCAAGTTCGAATTAGGGTACAATTATGACAAGAAGTTACAATTAGGATGCCCAAGGGTTAAGTTGGATTTATGGTGTAATTATTAAAAAACGTAAAGTTTGAGGTATATTTAATGGTTTACCCACACTTCTTCAGGGAAGATATCTGACCTCACTTTCTTCTCTTTCTATCTTTTAGGATTTATTTTAGGACAAAAGAAGTGAGACTTATATTGGCACATACTAGTTCCTAAGTTCAGTGTAAAGAAGGCATGATTTCTGTATTATTCCTTTTTATTATTTGGTATTTTCTTGTATTACAAGAATATGTTTGTCAAAATGCACCTTTGATATTAGTTGAATTTGCTCACTTGGTTCCCTTTGATTGTGTCCAACTAGTTTGTCTATTGAATCAATTTCTATTGTTATTTGTGCTAATTCAAATTCTTATTTATACAATTTAATTTGCAAATATTTGATTTTGTGTCGGCTAAAATTTCTCAGTAAAACAGATTAAACTTATTCGAACTTTCATTATATACTAACTTATTAACATTATATTAATAATTTTATATTAATTTTACAGTTTTTATGAATTAAAGTGCGTAGACTCGAAGATAACAATTAAATTGTAATTTGCAATAATACATGCAGAACTGTGATTACTACCCTTTCTCAGATTCAATTTACCATGATAAAAACATAGACTTGAAATATAAGAGATGCTCTTTAACAGAAAAATTATAAGAAATGCAAATCGTACGTAAACATTCACTATTCTGATCTCTTTGTACGTATGAGTCTCCAAGATTACTTGGAGCGAAAAGTGAAAGGCAAGAAAAACAGAAAAAAAAAATTGAAAATAAGACAGAGATTTCAGAGGACAAACTTCCTTTGCTGTAATTTATATCTTGTATATGCGATTAACACAGAAGAATCACTTTGACCAAAGAATTTATCAGATGATGAAGAAATATGAAACTGTGACTCCATAACTCCAAAACCTCTGCCAGAACCGGCTCCGCTCCCGACAAAACCCGTGCCAATAGAAGCAGCAATATTTCACACTAACAGAATCAATACTGCCTCCATTACCAAAACCTTCACCTACAGAACCAGTATCTATGGATTCAAGGTTTGCTACTAATAGTTTTAGACCATCTCCGCAGAATTATCATTTGGATTTTACCTTCATATAATAACTGAGGAGTCAAAATACATTCTTTTCTTCGAATCTATCAAAGTAGATATCATTATGGCAACTGATTGGCCATATACCGCCAAATCAAGATTTCCAATTAAACCATCAAGAATTCTCAACTCTTGGAAAATTGTTTTCATCCAATTAAAACTCCCTATTAGAATCTGATAGTATTTTTGGGATTCAATGGATTGGTTGATTTGAAGACAAATAAAATTAGGGTTTGTGATCAGAGTGTACCAAGATTTGCAAACCAATCTGCATCTTAAGAGGGATTTGACTGACACTCTTTTCAAGATTTCTATCCACAATTCTTCAGGGAATAAATCTGGCATTGCGCTTTTCTTTTTTCTTAAGGATTTTTGTTTAGGATGAAAGAAGTTAGACGCAAAGTTAAAAAGACTAAACCCTAAGCTAAGCCTTATATAGGCACATGTCAATTCCTAAATTCAGTCAAAAAAAGTAAATTGAAATCAATAAGGATCGGAATAACTTGGGGCCGAAGAGTTCTTCACTACAACCGACTTCTTGCTTTTCTAGTTTTTGCACCAAAGACCTAAAATTTAATAACAAATAAGGAATCGGAATAACTTGGGGCCGAAGAAGTTTCTTCACTACAACGGACTTCCTTGCTTTTTCTAGTTTTTCACCCAAAGACCTAAAATTAATAACCGGCAATTGTGGCCAAGTTATTAAGAAAAAATGAAATTTCAAATATTTTATTTCTTCATATATATATATATATATATAATTAATATATTATTATATATATTATATATAATATATATTATAGATATCATATTATATTGTTTAATATCCATAATAAGATAGGTTGGGACATCGATATATTATAGATAATCTATTAATATTGTTTATATCATATATTATAGATAATCTATTAATATTGTTTATATCCATATAGATAGGTTGGACATGTGAGAAGTCAAGTCGGATTAGGCGGTTTCTAGTAATGAGATTCGGATATATAGAATCAACTTTCATCGAGAAATCCTTGTTGCGGACACTTAAAAACCGTATTCAATTGAAATTAAAGAAAAAAAAGTTAACTAACAATGGGAACACTTTGGCCCCAAGTTATTGTACCAATTATTATTTTATATTTTATTAATTTCAATTTACTTTTTACTGAATCTAGGAAGTAATACGTTGTGATGTGCCTAAATAAGGCTTAGCTTAGGGTTTAGTGTTTTTCAATCTTTGCGTCTCACTTCAATCATGCTAAACAAAAAGCCAGAGTATGCTGATTTCTTCCCTGAAGAATTGTTGATCGAAATCTTGAAAAGAGCTTCAGTCAGACCTCTCTTACGATGCAGATTGGTCTGCAAATCTTGGTACTCTCCAATCACAAACCCTAATTTTATTTCTCTTCAAATCAACCACTCCATTGAATCCCAAAAACCCTATCAAATTCTTATTGAGAATGTATCCCGTTCCGGATTGGAGATTAAATTCGAGGGATATTGGTTATGTAATGACGATGACTTGTATAGTGGTTTTCGAATCTTTGATGAGATGTCTAATTATTATGGCGACAAGGTGAGCATTTTTGGTTCTTGTAATGGCTTGTTTTTTATATCCGATGGCTCTAGAGGCCATAGATCTCATGGAAATCTATACCTATGGAACCCTACAATTGGAAAAAGCCTCACTATTCCAAATCCTCCAAATCATGATCCAACTCCAGATAATTTATCAGACGTGATGCGTTGTGATGTAGGATTTGGGTATGACAAGAAAACAAATGATTTTTCTTGATTTTTGGGAAAATGAAGAGGTAATGGTTGATATTTATAGCCTTAGCACCAATTCTTGGAAAAGCAAAAATGTTGATTATCCTAATTGTAGCTTATATTTTGCTAAAGTAATTTTTATTTTAACGGTTTTATCCATTGGTTCGAGGGAGGGAAGACAGTATATATCTTTGTTCGATTTGTCAAATGAGGTTTTCCAAAAATTGAGAATTCCTGAGGATTTAAGTGGAAAACTTGAATTGACTGTATTTGGCCAATCGCTTGCCTTAATACAATATGAATCATGGGAATTTGATCGTAAGTGCGATGATTGTTGCATATCGGTATTGAAGGATTACGGTGTATCTGAATCTTGGAGTAAACATTTTGTCTTTAGAGATCTATATGAATATGGAGGTTTGTTATGGGTACTAGGCTTTCGAAGAAATGGCGAAGCTATTACTTTTCTGGGATCTGGGAATTTGGCTTCCTATGATCCCGAGACTGGGAAAATATCTAACTTTTGGATTCAGTAACTATAGTTCTTGTACACGTTATTACATGTATACATACACTGAGAGTCTTCTTTTACTTGATAAACAGAATGAGAGTGCAGGATCTTTAAATTATAGAAATGCACCTACTTATAAGGACAAACTCCATTCATGGGGCCCAAGTAAGGAGCTCTATTATGAAGACATGTTCACTTGGCTTTAAATGTAGTCTGGTAGGATGATTATAGAGTGGCATGCTGTGGATCAGAAAGGTGTCCTTCAAAGGGATATAGTACTGTTTTCGTCTATCCCAAACTATAGTCTTATTTTTTTTTTTAAAAGATAATTTATTATCTAATTTCTTAATATACCCCTATTTGATTGCTTAAAAAAAATATCCATATTTAATGTACATCCATATTCTCAATTGATGTCCATCATTTAATATTATAAGAGATTTAAAAAAAAAAAAAAAAAAAATATACTATCTCTGTTTTATAATACTTGTCAAGTTTAATAAAATAACTTATTCTAAAATACTCGTCATATTTGTGGTTTCAAGGAATACTAAATGTTTTTCTATGTTTACTCTTTGTGTATGGCTACTAATAATTACTTCAATTTAATGACTTCTTATAGAATTAGTATTGTATTAAGGATAATATAGTGAATTTACTCAATAATTTATTGAATAATTGAAAGTCAATTGAATAATTGTTTATTTTTTGAATTAAATTGTATTAAATATGGTGGAGTTTATCATATTTAAAATGAATTACTTAATTTTTAGATTTTAATGATAGTGAGAATTATTTTTTATATTAATTATAAAATAAATCAAACTAATTAATTCTCCTTTTATTTCTCTTTTTTTTATTATCTTTCTAAATTCCACTATTTTCAATACATGTTTATTTTCTAAATTCCACTATTTTCAATACATGTTTATTTACTAATTTTTATTCTCATTATTAAAAAATCGTGAATGTATTTTTTATTATTCATCTATCTTTATTTATATTTTAATAGCATAATATAAAACATTTTATTTGAGAATCTATCAACAAGCTATAATTATATTATTTTCTTTTAAATTTTCTTTAACCGTGCATAGCACGGAGATATTGCAGTACTTATATATACCCAATGACCAAAGGAGTGGGGCCAGGGGGCCGCCACCTCCTTGACTTCTATAAAATTTACTGCAGTCATTTGTTAGCTTAATGTTACGGGCCTTGTTAGTTCAGTCACGTGACTAGAGTTCAATTTTCATTAGCCACTGTTTTAAGAGGTTAAGTCAAGTGATTTTAATTCTCAGCGACTGCATTGTTTTTTTTTCTAATTTTGCTTTTCCGAATTATTTTAATTTTATCATAAATCTAAATTTTTTTTTTATCTAAATACTCTGAACTTGAAAATTAATTACACTAACGCTCCAAATTCAAATTTTACTCAATTTAATGAATAAAAAATTATTTTTGTAAGATCAACAATCTTTTACAGCCAAATCAACCCAATGAGTTAACCCAAAACACTCATTTCTAACTTCTCTCAACCCCATCGCGCTACTCCATCCTCTGCATCGTCGATCACATTTTTCATATAACAATCATCTTCTCATTCTTGCAAAACCATAACCCTTCAATTTTATCATTTAACTGACTTTTTTGTGTGTGAAACAAAGAGAAGAAAATTCTGCATAAAATTTCAAAACCATAACCCTTCAATTTTATCATTTAATTGACTTTTTTGTGTGCGAAACAAAGAGAAGAAAATTCTGCATAAAATTTCACTTTTGCTTTCGACTAAAAAAATGGCGAGATAAGGACCGGTCTCCTTCTCCATTTCTCTTTAGTATCAGTAAAGCTTTAAATCATCAAAAAATAGTGTCCTCCTCTTGACTGCTATAGAGGCAGCAACGTATTCTGGTGAAGCATTCCTGGGTAGGTTCTAAAAAGTTCCTTTCTTCTTCTAGAGCTTATCTCCTCCTCTAATTTTAAGTTTTACTAGGTTGCTCAAAAACTTCTGGGTGTGTTTTGGGTTAACTCATTGTTGTGGTTGTGTGCCACTCAAGTGGGACCCACGAACTAAAGTTAAAAACGGAAGGAAGTAAAGTTGGCTGCAAAACGTGTTATGTGTGAAAGTAAGAAAGTAAAGTTGGCTGCAAAACGTGTTATGTGTGAAAGTAAGAAAGAAATAGGAGCAGCCAGTTCAACAGTGATGGCTTTGAATTGGTGTACATGGGCGGTAACTTGAATAAGTTGTACACGGCTCATTAAACGCATTAACCTGCCTATAAATAGAGGCAGAGGCAGAACACCACAGAAGAAAGAAGAGAGAAAATGTAGCGAGAGAGTTTTCTAATTTTAGGATGGGTTTCCTAAACTTAGGGGAGAGAAAAATCGTGAGGAAATTATTATGGAGTGTTTTTGGGAAACACTTTGAGTGTCACTATTTTTGTATTACTCTCGTTGTGTACCTACTATTTTAATAGTAGAAGAATGATTCGGATTTTGTCCCGTGGACGTAGCCCTAAACAGTTGAGGGTGAACCACGTATTTTTTTTGAGAATTCTTGGATGATGAGTTCTGTATTTTTTACATGCTTATGTTACACTTTTTTAATATTGTAAAATTGCATTGATAGTAGTTAGTAACCGATCAATGATGGGGGGAAATTATGTGTAGACAAAGTGAAACACATAAAAGTTCTGGAGTTAGTGTACTATTATTCATTCAATACGCGATCCTCTGTGTCATTGCTTTTCTCATTTCCTTTATGCCCAACATTTAGGACACCAAATGTTAAAAATGGATTGCTAAAAATCACTTTTCTTCAACAACTGTTCTTTGTTTCTTAACCCCTCCAAGGATTCACTTATTAAACTCATATGCCTTACGGAAAGAAAAAGAAAAGTTGCTCATTTTCTTCAGATTCTAATTCTGTATCTAACCATAATGGGAGAGCTCAAGTATACTGAAAGAGAAAGGACTATTGGTTTGTTCTGTATCCTATTTTACTCAGTCGTTGCCTTTATGTTTCAAGGTTAAAAGTTTGGATCCAACTCATTTTGCAGAGAGGTAGAAGGATTGATGCTTCTGCAGACCTTGATTGTTCTCAAAATGCACAGAGTAGCAATCAACCATGTGTAGGATTTCTTTCTAGAATGTGAAGCCATTTTCTATCTAGATCAAATCATTCATTTTTTTATTTGGATTCTGTTATAAAATAATAGAAAAATGGACAGAAATAAAGGGAGAGAAGAGAGAATAGGGAGAGAATAGGCGAGTCTATTTATTATTGATGAGAAGCCACATATATATCATTAACCCTAATAGAGTCTTATACAAATCAAGAAAATACAGTTTACAATAATTAAAAATACAGACTTCTAGCCTATATGACATCCACTTATTTCATAACAGATTCTCTTTTATATTGATTTGGTTCAAATTGAAAAGTTCAAATGGTTTCTTTTGGTACTCAAAAAGTTTGAATCCGGTTCAAGAGATTTTCAATCCCTCTCTTAATTTTAATTGAATTCTTGATAGTAAATAATAAAAACAATGAATTTATTTCAATTTTTCTATTTTAAATTAAATTTGAAATATTTTTTAAGTATATTAATTTAAAATATTTTGAAAATTTAAAATGGTGACATTTCATACTAAAAACAAAGTATCGTGCATTCTTTTTTTTTTATTATTATTTTTAAAAAGACAACAATTAATAATAAAATTACATAATGTTAAATCAAATTTAACTATTATATTGATGACCACATAGCATAAATTAATATTTTCCTTGAATTAATAATTCTTTAATAAAAGCTAAATAAATTAAAGAGCTAAGTTGCTCAATTCTTTCCTTATATGCTCTAATCACATTAGAAATCTTCAACTAAATCATCTATTTCATTCTCCTCATCTTCCATATCATTAATATGAGCATTCATATTCATTCTGTTTCTTTAGGCATATAGGTACACTTGTATAGCCAATAATATTATTTTACATTGATTTCAATAAATAAATTAAAGAGCTAAGTTCCTCAATTCTTTCCTTATATGCTCTGATCACATTAGAAATCTTCAACTAAATCATCCATTTCATTCTCCTCATCTTCCATATCATTAATATGAGCATTCATATTCATTCTCTTTCTTTAGGCATATAGCTACACTTGTATAGCCAATAATATTATTTTACGTTGATTTCAATAAATAAATTAATAAAAGTTTAACCGATTTTTTCTTCAACTAAATTCCGTTCGGTTTAATCATTCGTTGGTAGAATTTGGTTCGGTTTGTTCGGTTGAAAAACCTACCAAATCCTCACCCTACTTGACCCGCTGTTGTGCTCTCCAATTGGGAAAGAAAAAACTGAGGCTTAGCGTTCCTCTCAGACGTCGGTCATTGCAGTTATATCTGTATCATCGGCAACTGACGATGGATAGGGTATCTCGGTTCCAGTTCAATCACTAACACGTCTCGTTCAGAACCGCAGGTGGTGGCGGCAGCCGCTGGCTTCTCAGTCCAGGTATTTAAGCCGTCCCGCTCTTTTTCTTTCTGTCTTTCTTTTCTTCTTTCTGTGTCGGGTGATAGTGCTTTTTAATTCCATCGACGAGTTTCTATTTTCTTTGTTATTTCTTGCTGTTGTGTGCTGCTTCAGTTTTTGACAGGGCTTTAATCAGGTTATTAGTTTGGGGTTGATGTGTTAGACTATCAATTTCTGGGTTACTAATAGAAGAAGCAATTTTGTATTTTCCCCTTTATTCCTTAGTTCTTTGTAAGTTATAGTAGAATATCTTTTCTTTGGGATTAGTCTTGACTTTGCAGCCATTTTCAATTAGTCCAAGATAACTGTCTGCATTTTTTTTAAGTTGACTAATTTTATGAATTCGATTAATTAATTTTAAGAATGTATTTCGTTCCCTGTTTGCTATGTTTAATAATATTGATTTGGTGGAAAAGTGTTTAATGACAAATGCCTCACTATTATTTATATTCTCATGTTTCCCAATACATATGTTCCCTATATTTT